ATCATTATTCTGCTGCTCCTGACCCCATAAACGACTTTTCATCTACGGTTCGTGTTCTGATATATTGGAGACTGGGAACAGTATTGGGGTCGAACTGGGATATCTGAAGCTTGTCAATTGGTAGAATTTAGAGTAGCCAACTCGCGATCCACAATAAATTTGGCGACGGAGATTTAGCAACAAGTTGGTGATTAACTATGGATCCAGCCAAATTAGAAAAATTGTTCGAACAGCAGCTGAAGCTGATGGAGATGATTACTCAGACGCATATATCTTCTCGAGTCCCAATTGCACCGACAATTCCTGAATCAGTTGATGGTATTACCAGTGGTATTTCAGAATTTCTTTATGATCCTGATGCCAACATTACATTTGATACCTGGTTCAGACGTTATGAAGACCTTTTCAAAGTTGACTTTGTTGACAGAGATGATTCGTGGAAGGTGCGTCTTCTTCTCCGTAAACTTGGTCCATCCGAGCTGGATAAGTATTGCAACTTCATTCTACCACAGAACCCACGCGACCGTTCATTCGACGCCACTATTCAGTCCCTTAGCCAACTTTTTGGTGATCATCACTCACTCTTCAGTACCCGATATCGCTGCTTAAAACTGGTCATGAATGAGTCTGATGACTTCCTGACTCACGTCGGCGTTGTTAACCGTGAGTGCGAACGGTTCAAGCTCAGATCCCTCACTGAAGACCAATTCAAGTCCCTAGTACTCATATGCAGTCTTCAGTCACCCAAATTCTCCGACATCAGAACTCGGTTGCTCAACCGCCTTGAACAAGATCCAACACTGACACTTAATGCGATCATAGACGAATACCAGCGTATCATCAATCTGCAGCGTGACACCACTTTGGTCCAATCTGGGGGCCAGGGTGGTTCCGAAGTTCATGCTGTTCAGCACCAAAAAAAATCTTCGAGATCGACAAACTCGAGTCCTTCGAACGCCAGCGCTGTTTCTATCTCTAATCACTCTAAACCGGCTCAGAAGAAGCCGCCCTCGCCATGTTGGCACTGTGGAGCCTGGCATTATGTGAAGTTCTGCCCATTCAAACAGCATGTGTGCGATCGCTGTCAGAAAGTTGGTCACAAAAGCGGCTTTTGCAAATCCAACCGATTCAATAACCGTCGAAATGCACAGACGCAGCGTCGTTTTCACAAAAAGTCGATTACCTCATCAAGGAGTTTAGCAGCAGTCTTCCATACTCATGCCGCGACTCGACGCAAATTTCTGACCCTCTCAATCAATGGTCAGCCTGTTCGTTTGCAGTTGGACACTGCATCAGATATCACCATTTTGTCGAAAAAGACTTGGCGAACCTTGGGTCAACCTCCCATCAAACCATCCTCTCAAACAGCCGTCAGTGCTTGTGGGGGTCATCTCCGCCTTCATGGTGAACTCTATTGCTGTATTTCATTCAGAGGTACAACCTTCAATGGGACATGCTACATCACCAATTCTCCGCTCAACCTTTTAGGTTTAGATTGGTTCGAAGAACTTGGTCTCGCTGATCTTCCTATTGGCGCTATCTGCAATCAAGTCCAAACTACTGCTTCTACACAACAGCATACTGAAGACCTTCGAAAACGATTTATTGAATTATTTAAGCCTGGTCTCGGACTTTGTTCCACAACTGAAGCTGTTTTAAAACTGCAGTCAGAAGCTACGCCAGTTTTTCGCCCAAAGCGTCCAGTCCCATACGCATCTTTACCTCTGGTTGACGCTGAACTTCAACGTTTGGAAACTGAAGGTGTCCTAGTACCTGTTTCTTATTCATCATGGGCTGCGCCAATTGTGGTTGTAAAAAAATCCAATGGTTCCATACGCATCTGTGCAGACTTTTCTACAGGACTCAACGCGGCTCTACAACAGCATCACTATCCGCTGCCGATCCCAGATGATTTATTTACTATTTTAAATGGTGGTACCTATTTTGCTAAGCTGGATCTGGCAGACGCTTACCTTCAAATTCCAGTCGCTCTAGAATCCAGAGAGTTGTTGACAATCAACACTCACCGAGGACTTTTTCAGTATACCCGGTTACCCTTCGGTATCAAAACTGCTCCAGCGATCTTCCAGCAGATCATGGACACTATTCTGGCAGATGTTCCTGGTGTTGCTACATACCTTGACGATGTGCTCATTGTCGGCTCAACTGTTGATGAATTGCATACCAGAACCCACTTAGTTCTGCAACGCCTCCAGGATAATGGTTTTCGCCTTCGCCCAGAAAAATGCCAATTCTTCTTACGTTTCGTTAAGTACCTGGGGTTTATCTTTGATGCTTCCGGACGACACCCTGATCCTCAAAATACTTACGCAATCCAACAAATGCCTGCTCCCACTGATGTCTCCTCACTCCGATCATTTTTGGGGATGATTAGCTACTATTCGGCATTTCTTCCATCACTGCATGACGTACGATATCCATTAAATCGTCTGCTAGAAAAAAATGCTACTTGGAATTGGTCAACGCAATGTGAGTCAGCCTTTTCAAAACTTAAAGCTATGCTAAGTTCCAATCTTCTGCTAACCCACTACAATCCGAAACTACCCATTGTGGTTGCTGCTGACGCTTCAACACATGGACTGGGTGCCGTAATCTCACATGTCTTTCCCGACGGGTCAGAGAAAGCGGTGATGCACGCTTCGAGAACACTAACACCTGCTGAGAAACGCTACGGCCAGATAGAGAAGGAAGCGTTAGCCCTAATTTTTGCTGTCCGGCGATTCCACAAATTCATTTATGGGCGCCGTTTCACCTTGCTCACAGACCACAAGCCGTTGTTATCAATCTTTGGATCAAAGAAAGGCATTCCTACCCATTCGGCTAATCGTCTTCAACGTTGGGCGTTGGCATTATTGGGGTACGACTTCGACATCCAGTATCGACGTTCCGAAGATTTTGGTCAAGCGGATGCACTGTCCAGACTTATCAGTAACCATTCTACCACTGATGAGGACACACTCATAGCCATAGTATCAACCGAAGAGGATTCCGGTGCTACACTATTGGCGAATGCCGTTCGAGCAATGCCTGTTACCGCTGAAGATGTTCGGGAAGCTACAAGAGAAGATCCGATTATCCAAGAAGCGATCACCTATGTTCAGAGCAGATGGCCAGTTGAACAGCTGAGTGGTGATATGCAACAATTAGCGAATCGTCGCAGCGCTCTCTGTATTGTTAACGATTGTTTGATGTTTGGTGATCGCGTAGTAATTCCAACAACCCTACGTTCCAAGGTCCTACGCCAATTCCACTCTGGACACCCAGGGATAAACCGTATGAAATCTATCGCTCGAAGCTATGCATATTGGCCAAATATGGACAAACAGATTGTCGACTTCGTCAAAAGATGTTCACATTGCCAAAAAGCTGCGAAAAATCCTCCTAAGTTGCCTCCAGTACCTTGGCCGAAGTCAGAAAAACCCTGGTCGCGAGTGCATATTGACTTCACCGGACCCCTAGATGGTACCACATATCTGATACTGGTTGACTCATACTCCAAATGGCCGGAGATACTGCCGATTGCGCCACCCTCTACAACTCGAACCATCAAACTCCTTAATCGGATCTTCGCTCAGCATGGTCTTCCAGAAACAATAGTAACTGACAATGGTTCACAATTTACATCTAGCCAATTCCGAGAATTTTGCCTGCAAAATTCGATCAACCATGTTCGTTCTCCGCCATATCACCCGCAATCTAATGGACAAGCTGAAAGGTTCGTTGATACATTTAAACGAGCCATGCTTAAAGCACGAGGGGAGGGGACCACAGAAGATATCATAGAACGATTTCTAGTTGCGTACCGGACGACCCCGCATGACTTATTGCCAAACTCCAAATCCCCTGCTGAGATGCTTATGGGGCGAAAGCTACGGACAGTTCATGGTGCGATGAAACCCAATCAAGTGGCCCAGCAAAGCCCCCAGATGAAGAATACTCGAATTCCCTACGTAGTTGGTACAAAAGTGTATTCGCGAGATTATAGACATGGATGTGATAAATGGGTAGAGGGTGAAATCACACAAAAACATGGGAACGTCATGTATGATGTCAAGGTGAACCAAGAAATCTGGACCAGGCACCACAATCAACTCAGGTCAAGGGAAGCGAAGGAGAAAGAAGCAATTACAAAACACGTCCCACTCGACTTGCTGTTGGACACGTTTCAACTTCCGCCAATACCTCCAACAGAGACGACTAAGTCATCTACTCAAGTAGAACATCCTTCTGGTTCTGTGTGGTTGCCTCGGAGGTCGGATCGCAAAAGAAGACATCCAAAGAAACTTCAAGTAAACTCTCGGTTACGTCGCTATTAACTTTTCCAAAGGGGAGGTGTTGGGATACTCAGAAAAATATCCCAGAAACAATTATCCGGTTAAGTCTAACGCTACCCTTGAACGTTAAATGGTGTCATTTCCCTATTGGTCGTTTCCCTACTGATCAATATTTATTTCGCGTGTCATTTTCCTATTGGTCAATATTATTTAACGTGTCATCTTTCTGTTGGTCAATATTTATAGTAATCCTAACTGTATAAATATGCATTTGTTTGTAAGTCATTATTCTGCTGCTCCTGACCCCATAAACGACTTTTCATCTACGGTTCGTGTTCTGATATATTGGAGATTGGGAACAGTATTGGGGTCGAACTGGGATATCTGAAGCTTGTCAATTGGTAGAATTTAGAGTAGCCAACTCGCGATCCACAATACCCTCACATGGAATCCTCAAGACCGAAGGAGAAGAGGAAGAACAAAGAACACCTTATGCCGAGAAATGGAGACAGACATGAAAAGAATGAATAACAATTGGATGGAACTAGAAGGGAAGACCCAGTACAGAGTGGGTTGGAGAATGCTGGTCGGTGGCCTATGCTCCCTTGGTAGTAACAGTCTTAAGTAAGTAAATAAGTATGCAACTTGTGTTCTCATTCACTATATCAGAAAAAGATAATACTTAATAAACCATTTATTGTTAAATCATTTATTATAAAAACGTTTAATGGTATCATTTGACGAGGTAAGTGTTGATACATTTGAATTCATACTTGATGATAATGATGATGGTGATGAAAAGATTTGCGATTGTGATATTTCAATAGTATTTTGTAATTTATCAACTGTTTTTCTATTTAAATAAGCACCAATTAATAATTCATAAAATATTGCACCAATAATAGAACCAATATATGGTGCTACAATAGGAATCCAAAAATAATAATGATCTTTGTTGAATGCATCCAAACCTAATTCTATGAAGAAGAAGAAGAAGAAGAAGAAGAAGAAACAAGACAGATTATAAACCGTAGAGATGCCAGAATTATAAAAGGTTAACAAACATATACTTTATAATCAAAGGCTTTCAAATGCCCGAATACAGCCTAGGGTGCGGTGTGTTGGTTCTTCCTCTCGAAATGCTCTCACACAGCCGCCACGAAATTCCTACTTACTGCCTTCTTGTAGCATTACTGTTGTTTACGAAATTGAGAAGACGAAAAGCGAATGTGCAGCACAGGCTTTCACCGGGTTGGTAGATATGGAGAATCTGCCTAGGGCAGTTGGAAAACTCTGATTTCGAAACAATGATGAGCATGGGCTCGAGGGGCCCGAAGGAACAAATAGTGTATGAACCAATTATTCGTCACCGGCTATCATGGGACTACATCTCCTGATGCTGCTCCACTGCTTTGAAGATCATACCTTTAGGTCGAACGCTTGGGTTGTGGTCCCCTAAGAACACCCCCTGCTTTGATCTGGGCACTCGGGCAGTAGCCCAGTCCTCACACAAATCGAATGATTTATGTGGCGTGTATCTATTTGGTGCCTTCTTGTACCAATATTTGTGTTTAAATAAATGAATAAATAAACTATAATCAGAGAGGAGGGTTATTGGAGACTGCAGTAATTTAATAATTAAATTCATGAGTCAATTAAAGCTAGGCCACCATGGAAAGTCTGGAAACATTGGAAGGCAATATCATCCTAGTATGGGACTCCTCAGCAGTGCACATCCCCGATCCCGAATCCAAGACCTATACTTTATATTAAGCATTATTAGTCTTCATCATGAACTGACTTTAGTTAGATAACTATTTAAGTTAAGAAAGAAATAGAAAAACAGGTTTTTCGTCCCACAACATGAATTTTTACAAATAAGAACCCATAGTCCCATAGAGTATAAAACCTAAGAAATTGTTTTCGCAACATAAACGCTTTATACCTTGAAACTATTGAGCTATCATTTGATGATTTACATATGTAACTTCAAATAATTCACAGCATTGTACAAATCAACCTACTGTGGGAAAGAACAAACCAGATCCCAGAGGAGGAAGAAATCAGGAAGAATTGCTGGAAATGGATAGGACACATATTGAGGAAAGCACCCAACTTCGTTACGAGACAAGCCCTCACATGGAATCCTGAAGGCCAAAGGAGAAGAGGAAGACCAAAGAACACATTACGCCGGAAAATGGAAATAGACATGAGAGAAATGAAACTAGCAAAGAAGGCCCAGTACAGAGTGTGTTGGAGAATGTTGGTCGGGGGCCTATGCTCCATTAAGAGTAACAGGCGAAAGTAAGTAAGTAAAGTAAGTATTGTACAAATACCTTTGTATATCTCGTAACTGACATCATCGTTTCACCTTAAAAACTATGGTAGAATCTTCTAGAAATCAATCCAATACTACAATCATATAGTTACCTAATTCAACTTGGTTAACAACAATTGTTTAATTTAAATCAATATGTTCTTTAAATTATGTAATTCAATAATCTATACAAACATCCTGTAACTATATATATATATCATTTATTGATGAATGATATTTCTCTGTGGTGTCAGTTAATTTATTGATTTTGTAAACTATGTACACAATTCTAGATTATTGATTAATTTCACAGGTTGAAATCATGAGTCAATTGAAGCTAGACCATCATGGAAAACCTGGAAGCACTAGACGGCCGTTCCGTCCTAGTATGGGACTCCTCAGCAGAGCGCATCCACAACCCCGCACCCCGCGAGGTTCGAACCCAGGACGCGAACCCATTCTGATATTGATTAATTATTAGTTCCGTTTACTCAAATTTATTGATTAACCGAATATCGAATACGTTATGTAATTTTTTATTATTATTAATATTACTGAAGATGTAGTCCAATTAGTAAGTGATGAATAAATCAGTCTTCATCTACAATTATGCTTTTCTCCCTGAATTCTTTATCCGTCGTGATGAATAACGAATGAAAATAGTTGCATTATGGTGTATGTTATTGATATCGACAGATAGAAGTGAAGCTTTTTGTGTCAGAAGGTTAAAAATAAGATCAAAGACAAGAGACTAAGAACAAAGAATGATCTGTATGGTAACCAAGGGATAACCTAGTCTGAGACGATTGATTGACATGTATTGTATAGTTCTTAGATTTTACTAAGACATCCTGTAATTTTACATCTGAATACATCCGATTGTTCTCACTTGTTTTTTTTGTTCACCACAGTTTAAGTAGCTGAACTCAGCGCTTAACTCAAATCATAACCTTGATAAATCAGTCTTGTTCCAATTCATTTCAATAATGATTCATAAATGGAATATTTTCATAATCTAACTTCATCTACAACACAGAAAACTCACAATACATAATGGATCCAAGGTAGAAAAGGAATCATACTATTATTTCTTTTCTTGAATGTATCCCCAAAAGTTCATACAAATAGTTGAATACTCTTTTATTATCAACAGCTCACTCATTAATTTGTAAATCACGAAAGTAATGACACATAGAGTTATACTACTGATAAGTATAATAAGTAGTACATTTTAGAACTCCTAATTTTATTCAAATGTCTTTTATTATTTAATTTGATGTTAAACAATTTTGTCTAAATCACTAAGTTATTACATATATTTCAATCCTACGGGATATCATGGATAAGCAATTCATTGAAATCACTTACTACAAATTTAGAAATGTTCGAACTCAAGACCTATCAGTCTCGCGCGCGAGCGCTTAACCACTTGACCACTGAGCTTGCATCCAGTGGTGTTAATGTCTAACTCCAACCAATCCACGAAGTTGCTCCACCGTCCACCATTGTCATCATTGAATTACTATCTCACAACAGACCCGGTTGAACTTCACTGGTCACGACATATGATGATTATAATCAGAAATGGGTTTCGAGAATATTATAGTAATTTAGTAGTTGAATTCATGAATCAATCGAAGCTAAACCTTCATGGAAAACCTGGAAGCACTGGACAGCCATTTCGTCTATGAACGTAGTTGTTTGCTTGATAATGACTGATTTAAGCTTTTGTTTCAATAAAAGGCTATTTGATTCACCTCTAAATGGTAAAGTGATATAGACAGGCTTTTTCTCTGTCAAAGCTATAATAAATCTCACTGTACCATGAACTTTTCATCTATTTATGAATTTGAGAGGATAGTCACTTTCCATTAATGTTTTATGTAGAACCTGACATTATTTGTGGGGTCATTTGTACAAATACGATTAGGCCTGTTAAATAGGCATCTTATCAAACCCTAATTGTATTGCACGGAACAATACATATAACAGCTAAGGTATTGACCTATTCATGTTGATTTTCTAAAAATGAATCGTGTGATTGAGCCATCTCCTCCATCTACTGAGAAGTATATCTAAGAAAGGGAAGCTGGTTGTTGTTCATCACTTCACATGAAAGAATAATATGGTTCTGGAGGGTGTTAAGTTTATTCTATAAACATCTGATATATCAACATAGTTCTGATAATCTGTGTCTTCTTATTACACTAGTGAAATTTATTAAAGGGATGAATTGCTTTAAATTTCTAATATTTTCATCATAAATTTTCTGCATATATATATTATTTCTGATCTTCCACATTGTCCGGATGTTCTGTGTACCTATAAAAATTGTTGCTCTGGTTGTCAGAAGGGGCATCGGCCTCGTGACTTCCGAAGGAAGTCGGCTTTCAACATCATACGTCATAACTCTTCTGAATGAAGAGATTCTAATCCTCAGGGCAGTGTCGAAATGGTTTGAATTGATTTTTCTAGTTAGCGTTTTCTAGCGAGTTAGTTTTATACAGGATGAGTTCGGTAATTCCATGCCCAACCCTCCTTCTTTATTGGGGCTTGAAATCAGCAGTAACTCTAGAAGAGCTTCAGGTGGATAAAGATAACTAGTGTAGCAGCAGACTCTGCATCAGTAAGCCTCGACATACACAAAGGGAAAAGCAAGATCCTCAAATTCGACACAGAGAACACCATCTCAATCACACTTGATTGCGAAACTGTGGAAGAAATGGAACGTTCACTTACGTGAGAAACATCATCCATGAACAAAGAGGATCGGATGCAGATGTAAACACGAGAATTAGCAAAGCAAAGACAGCATTCCTACAAGTGAATAACATATAGAACACAAAACAACTGCCTCTCAACCAATATCAAAGTCACAATCCTCAGTACGAACGTCAACATAGTTAGTTCTACTGTACAGAGATGAAACTCGGACAACTATTACAACCATCATCAAAAAGGTACAAGTATCTACACATAGTTGTCTACGTAAGATACTCAACATCCATTGACCGGATACCATCAACAACAACCCACTGTGAAAGAGAACAAACCAGATTCCAGTTGAATAGAAGATTAGGAAAATACGATGGAAATGGATAGGATATACATTATGCAAATCATCAAACTACATCATGAAGCAAGACCTAACTTGGAATCCTGAAGGGAAGCGGAAAAGAGGAAGGCCAAAGAACACATTACGTCAGAAAATAGAATTAGATATGAAAAAGGACGAATAACAACTGTAAAAAGCTTGAAAGGATCACCCAGGACAAAGTTGGATGGAAAGTGCTGGTAGTTGGCCTATGCTCCTTCAGACTTAAGTAAGTAATACATATATTAGATTAAATAGCCAAAGTAAACCAAAAAAAACAAAACAACATATTATTAAAAACAATATTCACTTACCACATAATGCAATTGTTATTCTTGGACCTAAATCACGTATTGGATTAATTGATGTACCAGCATTCATTGATAAGGATGTAATTCGTCCAGATGTAAATAGAATTATATAAATTAATCGATAATTTTTATGTATTTTATCATTTCTTTCATCTCTTATTAATAAAATAAATATTGTTGTCATAATAGTTAATAATAAACGATCAATAAAACATATTAAATGTGATCCATTAGGTGTTATTATAAATTGATTTAATATAATCAATTTTATGTTGTCATGGATACTAATATAATTATAATAATATATATAATATATCATTAAACTTGATAATAATGAACTAATTAATTGTATAATTGTTAATGGAATTACATAATGAAATGATAATTTATTAATCAATGCTAATGATAATGTAATCGATGGATTCATTAAACTATTATAACCTAATGGTTGAGTTATAATTTGTGATAATAATAATGCAATAGACCAACCAATTGATATATTGATATAATATAAATTATATTTTAATGTATTATGTATCATACTACTTAATCCAATTGTAATTAATATAAATGTACCAATAAATTCACTAAGACAAGCATTTAATAAATGTTTATTATGAATAAAAGAAAATTTATGTTTTATTTTGTATAATAAATAGATATAGTTGTCATGGAGATTAATGTCATACAATTTCATGAGTGAATAAAAATTGTACTATAAGTGTTATATGAATTATTATTAATCATAATAAAAAATCATGTGGGGGTGTTCTTAATTTCTTTTTGATGATAATTGGTTTATTTATAATAGATTTGTGTCAATATTTATTCCACTGAATCAATAAATGTGTAATATATATTATGTAATTCAAGGACTGTTATGTGATTGGTTTGTAGTGGCGTTAGACCATAATCACACAATCTTCAAAGCTGAACACAAGACTACTCGGAAAATAGATATTCAATATTTAACGCGGAGAAATACCTAACGATGGAAAAGGCGGGAATAGTTAATTGGATGAATTGGAGTTGATTGGATGGCATGGCTCGGCCATGCAGGCGTGGCCTTTGCGGAATGTTACCTTATATCTTCTATTCATATTAAATGTATTGTTCCTTCTCTAGCTTAACCTTGTTCTACATCATGTATTGGTAGTCGATATGATACAGTGAGTTGGTGTAGTCGATGGCGTGACTTCCGCGTAAGATCTTATATATTAGGCAGTTATACCATGACAAATCTACAATTTTAGGATTAGGTCTATTATTAAAGCAGTACTAATATTATAGTAGACCATAATTCTACAGGTTCGTTTGTAGGTATAATTTTAGTGTTCTTTTTTAATGGTTACGGTAATGGTTAGTTAGTTAGTTACGCCTGTTACTCCTTGTGGAGGATCATAGGTCAACCATCAGCACTCCCCCCATCCAACTATATCCTGCGCAATCCTTCCCATCTCTTTCCAGTTGTTATTCATCGTTTTTCATATCTCATTCTATTTCCCGACGTAATGTGTTCTTTGGCTTTACTCTTTTCCACTTCCACTCAGGATTCCATGTTACGGATTTCTGTAATGTATCTCCCATCCATTTCCATTGTATTTTCCTAATCTTCTATTCAACTGGAATCTGGTTTGTTCTCTTTCACAGTGGGTTGTTGATGATGGTATCCGGTCATTGGATGTTGAGTATCTTACGTAGACACCTATGTAAAGATACTTGTACCTTTTTGATGATGGTTGTAATAGTTGTCCGAGTTTCAGCTCTGTACAGTAGAACTAACTATGTTGACGTACGTATTGAGGATTGTGACTTTGATATTGGTTGAGAGACAGTTGTTTTGAGCCCCATATTTTCTTCAATTTTAAGGACGCTTCCGTTAACGATAGTTGGTGCCTAATAACTATTACTATCTTTCCTGTAGTTAACCTATTAATGATGTTCATTCCTCATCTACAAGAGATACAAAAGTTTGTTTTTTCTATATCTTAAACTATGAAGATGGATGCATCAGAAAAATGAACGTAACTTCATGCCGAGGGTGCAGTGTGTTGGTTCTATCTCTCGTAATGCCCTCACATGGCCACGTACATACAACCACCGCCACGGAATTCCTACTTACTGCCTTCTCGCACCGCAGGTGTTGTTTACGAAATTAAGAGGACGAAATTTGAATGTCCAGTGCTTTAACCGGGTCAGTGGGTACGGAGGATCCGCCTAGAGGAGTTCGAAAACCCTGATTCCAAACTAGTGAAGTACAATAGCTCCAGGATCCTGAGAAAACAAATGGCTTATGAAAAGATTGTTCGTCTTCGGCTACCATGGGACTGTATCTTCTTAAGATGCTCCACTGCCTTGTGGATTAGACCTTTAGGTCAAAGGCTCTGGGTGTGGCCCCCTAAGAAAACCACCCGGTTCGGTGGTTACTATAATAATCTGCATAGAATCCAAGGGATAAATATTCAAAAACGAACATTTAGTTATAAAAATTGGAATTCCTATTGTAGTCGACGAGAACACAAATGGTAACAATCTAATGTATTTGAAAACAAAACTACAGAACAGCTTATTAAAATCTGAGAATCATACAGCGAATACTTCATTTGCAAAATGTCAATCAATCGTCTCAGACTTTATTGTTTCTTTGTTCCTCCAGCAATCATTCTCCGTCCTGGTTCTCTTTTCACTGATCTTCTTAACCTTATGTTGCCATATGTTTCACCTTCGATTGTTTCCAGAAGGTAATGTATGCAGATGAATAAATCAAGAAAATGAAAGTGACTTCATGGTCATGGGGTGTATATGAATCGAAAATACTGTTTATGCAACCATATCAAAACAACATATATATCACCGATCATATTATAGTTTATTTAATTGAGTAAAACACAATTCGTCCCTTAGGAGACAGTGGATTGATAAAAACTTGCCTAATTGAATATCTGGGCTACGTGTTCTTGCTATCTGGACATTTCAACAAATTATCTTTTTTAATTTGTTTTAACACATCAGTATGCTTATTAGTCTCGTGACCTATTCAGTCGAGATTATAAAAAGTTTACCACCTTTCGGTGTAAAGTTACAAAAGAGCCTAATCAGATACACCGTGGTTGCTGGCAATATTCAGAGGAAAGAATGTACATTAACTTAATGTTTATTAACCGGACTGCTAACACCTAACTGGAGATCACTCAATCTTTATCGTCAATAGTATTTTGTTGTAATATTCGCTAAGGTTAGGGTTGAGTTATTACTAAGTCTAAGGTTTAGGTTAAGAATACAGTGTAGATTTAGTATTGGAATTAGAATAACAAATGATATTGGCTAAAATTAAAGGTTTCGGTGTATAAAAACTGATCTTATATCCTAACCCTGATCTTTTACAGTTAAGGATATATATTCAGCCTAATAATTTCATTAGTCAAGTACGAGCAATATCATATAAACGCCTATAACTAGTTTAAATAACTAGTTTCCAAAGTTCTGGTAAGAATCTGTGACCAGTGGATTTCAACCGCGTCCAGCGTGAAGACGCTACCCACTGAAGACAATGACATATGGTCACATAATATCGTTTACCGGACATCATCAGCAACAGCCTACTGTGGAAGAGATTGAACTAACTCCTACACGAGGAATAAATTAGGGAAAGACGCTAGAAGTGGGTGAGACATACATTTCGGAAGTCATGGAACTGAATCATGAGGCGAGTCCTAACTTGGAATCTTGAAGGAAAACGGACATGTGGAAGGGCAAAGGACACTGTGTCTGAAATTGGAAGCAAACATGAAAAGTTGAGTAGAAGTCAGGGAAGGAGTGCCTAGGACAGATAGAGAATGCTGGCAGGTGGCCTCTGCTCCTCCATGATGGGTAACAGGCGTAAGTAATTATAAGTAAAAATAGTCACAATTATTTTTCAATATTTTTCGCCAAACATTTTATATGAAGAAAATTTTTTAGAGGGAATATTGTTTTACCAACTTGTTTCATAACTAGTTGTTATTCGACATTTTTTCACAACACTTCAATATATCTCAAGTAATGTCAAGTTTCGCCAGATAATACTAGTATTTTAAGTAAAAAGAGGAAATTTAAACGACAAAATGTAACCGTCCATTAGTAAAATATCGTTACTTAGTAATCCATAGAATCAAATGTGGTGTTTGAAGACTTTTAACAGTATGACTGTATTAATCTAACATCTACAGCGTATAAAAAGTGGAACAGGCCATAATGTTTACGGTTTCATCGACAACATTGTCCGAAAATGGAATTAAAGTCGGTTCCTAAGGCAAATTAAAAAACACACCATCAAACAGCGTACCACAAATCCTAAAAACCATAATGACTTGGATAAGCAAACCAATAAATAATTGTTTTTGTAGGAAAGTCGTAAAAGGTTTGAATATATCAGCGAGATCATAGCAGAATTATGTTATATTTAGTAAAGCCGAAACAAAATAGTGGCTGGAGGTGGTCAACAGAAAACTCTCAACCCTATTTCCGTGCTTTTTGGCACTCGTCAGTAAGGTTTACCTGTACCGTGTCACCCGGCTTCACAATCAGAGACGATACCAACGTGGTCGTTAGGATTCGACCTACACTAATGAGGACTTGACAAATATGATACTGATCACCACACAGTAATCAGTCAATTGTAAATACATCTCACTACTACAGAAGGTCAGCTACGGCTTCGATAGCCCATTGGTAACGGCTCTGACTGTCAAGCTGACTGACACAGGATCGAACCCATCAGGATGCATCAGTTTCATCAAGATTACAAGTACATCTTACAAACGAGTGCTAAGTAGCAAGAAACCTAGGTCACCCAGAGTTTCGTGTTGACTACCTCAAACCATCATATCATCTCAACATAATGCACGAAATTTCGAGTCACCTAAACTAGTGACCACACTATAACTTGGTTGATCCTCACTAAGAAGGACCTGGCATACATAATATTGATCACCGTCCAGTGACCAACCAATTGTGAGCAGAGTTATTATTATCAGTATTACTATCATTACTATATATATATATATATATATATATTGTAATGAAGTCAATAAAATCAACTTTTACAGATTCGCACATAAAGAATAAACGTTGATTACATAAGTCCATTTACAAAAAACCAATGTAGAATAGAATAATGTATTGTATGCACATGTACCCACCTACAATTTGGATCAATATATATAACCATTTAAAAAAAAGGTAAGTAAATGTTAAAAACAATTAAAGTCGTGCATACTATAATCGTCACTACATCATCATCATCATTATCATTATCACCATCATCATCATAGGAGTAATTATGTCAAATAATAATGAATCAATCTATCAAATACGTTATAATGCATTTATTAAACAATTAACAAATTATATTAATCTAACTAAATGGCCATTATTATGTAATTGTATTAATGAATTTATTGGTACAACAATATTTATTATATTTGGTTTAGGTGTTATGATTCAAACAAATATTCATTCAATAAATGATAAAAATATTGGACAATATTTATCTATATCAACGGGTTGGGGTATAGCTAAAATTATTGGTTTATTAATATCAACTAATAGTTGTGGTAGTGGTGGTGGTGGTGATGGTGATGGTGATGGTGACGATCATGATAGTAGTAACCATGGTAATCAATCAGGTTTATTAAATCCATCGATTACATTTGCATA